ACCACCACCACCACCACTACTACTACTACTACTACTACTACTACTACTACTACTACTACTACTACTACTACTACTACTACTACTACTACTACTGCTGCTGCTACTACTACTACTACCACCACCACCACCACCACCACCACTACTAGCAGAGGGGTAGGATTGGATGTTTTTTCATTCGAGGTATATTATCTTTACCTATTAGGCATGCATTGCAAATGCTAGGAATACGTTTTTTCCTCTTCTTCCTTTGTACACAGTTTGATATCGTATTGGACTTCTTGTTATTGGGTGAATTAGTAGTAATACATCATTTTTCATCGCCCTATGCGGGGTACTATGTGAAGTCATACACGAGCAATTCAAACCTCGCCTTGGTATCCTTCCCAGAATTAGTAACCTTTTCCAATACGACGACATTTTCCTCCCCAAATCCGACCGCACACCTTTCTCTTGGGAAGTTATGGACCCCTCCTATATTCAACGACAACGGGTCCCCAGAACCAATGAGCCTGGTACTGCGATCTTTGCCATAAGTTCTCTCTAATCTTTCCTGCAGGTCCCAAAATCGGACTTCGCCTCGCCGGTCTACACTTACTGCCCTCCTTAAACCAACTTCGACTGACATGATCGATGAGTTATGGCCCCAGAGGCGATGCCCAGATAATATCTCAATCTTGCCCTCTTTGTTGGTAAACATATTATACAGTACCAAGGTATTGTCGGCGTGCGACGTCATGATGAAAGGATAACGATAAGAAACGCATGTTGGCGCTGTAAATGCAAGCTGAGCGGCTCTGCCGAAGAAAACATAGTCCAGAGCTTCATGTAAAGGTGGACTAGACGTTTGTGTTTCCAAAATCACTGGTTTTTCAGATGAAAGGTGGAATTCTTGTATTGTGATAGATGTACCGATTATGACGCTTCTGACGGTAAACACGCAGGTTCCGATAATTTTGTTGGAGACGGGGTCTTTGCGGAGGGATAGACAGCTGGGAAGCCACGACTGGTCTAAGGATAAATTTTTAACCAGGGTAGGGGGGAGGAAAGATATATCGGGGAGGAGCAATCCATCATGCAAATCCACAGCTCCTTTCCTTTTAACGGCACTTTGGAAGTTAATTATCGAGAGTTGAAATTTATTAAGCCTCGCTATGATAAGAAGGTAGGGGAAATGGAAGGCGATGATTTCAATCGTGCCAATTTCATCGGATTTATTTTTTATATACTTCTCACGGAGACAGCCTGAGGTGGGATTAAAGTGGTAAATAGCATAGCTACCGTTATTGTAGCCGACCACGAAATCAATGTTCCGAGCCTCATGTCGTTTCCTCGAGGTATCATTTAGAAGACTCTCTTCGAGACACATGCAGGTGGGCTCGCCTAATGTGATAGACCGCCTCGCGAGTTCGACTAGCTTTTTTGAATGGCCTTGGCGACCAAAAACTCGGACACCATGTTGAGTGTCGGCAGAAAAAAAATAACCCTATTGTCATAATAAGCTCTATGTCTTAGTACCATCCAAGAATTGATATTAAGACTTACCTCGTAGAATTTGCCTGTGATAGGGGGCGCTTTGCTTTCATTGTTAGACACTGGATTTAGAAGCCCCAATTGGCTGGACTGTGCTACACCCCGCTGCCAGTTGGACCGTAATCGAAACTTTCCTTTCCAGTCGAGCGTAGGCTTTGTGATCTTTGGTTGTTTAGAAGATGAGAGATACCCATCGATAAGGGCCTCGTATGGTTCAAGTGATGCTGATGCAGTTGATGAAGGGGCAAGAGCTGCCAGGTTCCTTTCCTCTTGAATTAACACATGATCCTCCAGCCACATCTTCCAATCAGCGACTGCCCCCGGTTCGGTTTCAGGTTCCCTGCTACCGTGTGAGTCGGGTATACTAAGCCGGGCTCTTCGCTGCAGTCTTGGAAGAATGAACTTTGCCCAGAATTTAGTTTTCCATAATTGCTGGTCTGAAGCCAAGGCATGAAGCTTTCGTGACACCCGAGAAACAGTAAGTAGGGTCTGGACTGGAAGGAAATGTAAGACGCGAAGAATGAGTTCTTGCGGGAGGGCGAGGAGATGTGATTTGCCAAAGTATCGGCGCTTTGGAGTAGGTTCTTGAGCTTGTGCCGATTGGGACCCATTAACATTGTTGCCGTTATCATCGAGGAGGCGACGACGCTTTCCCATTGTCCTAGCCCGGTGATGTTGCTTGGAGGAAATGCTGGGTTCTGAATCTGAATACAGATGACACAATAAGGAAGCGCTACGGGATGGTTAATCGAGGGTGGGTTACTGTCTATACTGATCTGTGATACGAGGTGCCGTCTAAAGATGTGTTTGTCATTCCTTCCTAATCTGCAGGCCCGTTAGGTATTTTGCGTTGTGTTGTGTCGCTAAATCGGGTATCCGTCGAAACACTTAACGCGTCACGACAACAACAGCTTGCACGTGTGGCGACTTTCCTTGTATGGCTCTTGCTAGCCTCAATCGCAAATCTAGGCGACTTCCTGCATACTTACTAAGTACCTAACCTACTTAGTATGCATCTACCCTCCGCCTGCACTGGGTTTATCATAAATCACATCCATTACTCTAATATAATCCGGCCAAAACCTTAGCATAAATACAATGACTACTTCTATCAATCGGGACTTGATCTTTGGTCCTCTCTTAGAAAAATCCGAAACCTTTCAGCAGCAATTGGCCGCAGCGATACGTAAGCAACCATCCTCTACAAGATTTTAGTTCCATTTCTCAAAGCTAACGCACACCCTTTTTTCGTTTTGCCTTTATTTCGATTTTCCTAGTGGCGGCTGCATCGTTGAGTAAAGATCTAGAGCTTCAACATGAAAGTAAAATAGCGACTCTAGAAGCTGAGATTGAAAGACTCAAAAGTCCAAAGCCCCCTCCGGATTCATACCCGCCATATTCACCCAATGCCTTTCACACAATAGACGGCGTAGAATATGTGACAAAAGACGAATACAGTAAAGTTCTCAAGTCTCTACAACTTATGAGCAAAAAGAACCGTCTAGTAAAACAAAATCCGGATCATTCAATAGTTGACGGTTCAGAATTTAGGGAGGAAACACCCCGAGCTCCAGATGACAAGCAGAGGGAACTCGATATGGAAAGGGCTAAGGTCAAAGAGTTCGAGAGGAAATTTGGGACAATAACGCAGCTGCTAGACCTTAGCCAGACCGTAATTCAGGCGGTCATAAAAACGAGTACAGACGCTGCGAGGCAGTATAGGAAGTACGGAGAAGATGATGACCAGTGGAGAGCTGAGATGTTGGAAAGGGGGATTGTCACTGCTTCTGACTTAAACCGGCGGCCGACTCGAGATCCGTGGCCTAATATTGCGACACCTCTTAGGCATCTATTCATGACAATCAGTAGTCACAATATAATGCGCACAAGAGGCCAGTCCATTCCTCCTCCGACTGGATCAACGGCATCAACGTCTATGCTCCGTCCACTTGCCGAGACGCCCACGCAACTACTAAAATCGGCACCCCCATCCTCGTCTACCCAAGACCCCGATGTCACCAGCGATGAAGAAAGTGTCTACGAGGAGGAGGAAGCAGAGAGCGCCTTACAAAAGTTTTCACCAACATCAAAGGCAATAATGCGAAAACCTGGATCAGACACTCTTGCGGTTTTGCACCCCGAACCCCTATCTCCAATTCAAAGCCATCGTGCCAGTGTAGATTGGGAAGTAATAGAGGATGCATTAGTCAATATCAAATCAGAGTCGATGTCTGAACATGACTGGTACTCGAAGTATGGGTATAGCCATATTGTTCACGGCGAACAAGAGACTTTTGATCTCGATAATATTACTGCGCCGAGGCGGGAGTATGTTGGAATCAGGAGTTTCGGACAAGTGATTTCCACTCCGGAGAAAGATGGAATTCGAACCCCTTTCTTGACACAATCTTCTTGGACGAAATCTTCAAGGGATGCAAAGGGGGATCAGTCCGCCGTCTCAAATCGTCAACGAGTTCACAACGGGCCTGTTATTCACGACACATCGGAAGAAGAACCCGCTCTATCACGACCACCTTCTCGTATGCCGAGATTAAAAGAAGATCCTAACACCGCAACCAAAGTAACCAATGTAGAGGCTGTTCCGATGGAACCCCTACCTATTTCCAAAGAAGATGGAGCGAGAGCGCCTTCCGAACAAAACCCTTCTCCAGAGCCAATGTCACAAACTGAAGCATATATCGTCACGGGCCTTCGAAACCCTCTAAGGGAAATTATAGACCCCAATGGCCTAATAGAGCCGGGCACCGCAGATACTATCAACCTCCAACCTTGTGGTAGTACGAAGCAACTTGATAAACTAGCAGGAAATGAAGAAATTTACGACAAAGAGAACCCACCCGTGGCGAAGAACTTGACCAACCTACCATCGACGCCCACACAAAATAATAGACATCCTCCTATGTTTGCTCGTAGTACGGGGGCTCTCAAGCTAAAGCGTAAAAGCATCTGCCCCATATCAACAGCGAAGCAGCCTCTAAAAAGGAGTAGCTTGGTTTTCACTCACGAACCAGTTACAGCTCTAGTCGAAAGCACACAGACTGCCGCTGCTGCCACTCCGGGGGAGAAACGCCCCCCAGGAGGTCCACAAGGAAGTTCTCAAAAAAAGAAACAGCGAACAGAGAAATCAACGGCTCCCACAGCAGTTCCAGCACTTAAAACCCCCGACAACCCCTTCTCACCAAGTAAATATCGAATAAACAAAAACAAAAACGAAGGATTGGATTTTGCATTCGGCGAGGTAGTAAGGAATAGAGCTAGGAAAGATTGTTTACCTAAGTGTATTAAGGAATGCTGTAGGGATCTTGCTAGCGGCAGGCTGCATGAAATGTGGAAGCCTCCCGTGCCATACGAATCCGCCAGGTTTGGCGCAAGAGACTCGTCGCCGCTAGATAAAGAAGAGATCGGAACGAAAAACAATGAACAATACAAGGAGTGGAACGCCGCGCGCGAGAAATCCGAACGAAATTTACAGTTCGGGAGACACAGGGCGCAGCATCAAAAGGCTCCAGAGGTTATGGGTTACTGGGAAAGCGACTTCCCGACCACACAGTTGCTGGAAGAGCAAAGAAAGGATTCCGAGAGAAGACATACGGAGAAAGGATTTGATCGATACGAGCAGGCGACTAAGGGTGGAATGTACGAACGACGAGCATAGCGGGGTGCTACTTAGGTACCTATCCGTGTTTGATATATTTATGACAGATTACTTGAGCAAAAGCAAAAGCACTATTGTGATACTTGCGAATACTCGACCCATCTTGGCATTGTTGTGTCTCACATCGCAGGCTACAAACTACCTATAAATACTTACTTTATTGGGGTCCACCAGGGTAAGGGAAGGCGACTTCAGGTCGAAGAGGATACTAGGCTTTTATTCTTTTATTACATACAGGATGCCTTGCCTCCCGTGACGAGTTCAAAGCAAACAGCCTGTTGCACAAAGCAACCCAAAGAAACGCACAGGGGACGTTAAAAGAGAGGAACTCTCTTCAATCCATCTTCAACCAAAAAAGCAAATATTAAAGTGAGTGGCTATAGCCAATTGGACTTCCCAAAAGAGACTGAAAAAACCCTCCAAGCTGTGGAATTGTTTACTGGCTATCAACCTTGGAGATATAGTCGATAAGATCCAGGCAACGACGGGAGTAACCCCACTCGTTGTCATACCAGGAAACCAACTTGACGAAGGTATCAGTCAAAGCAATACCGGCTTTGACATCGAAGATGCTGGAGGCATTGTTACCCATAAGATCGGTGGAGACAACCTCATCCTCGGTAACGGCCAAGATTCCCTTGAGGTCACCGGCGGCGGCGGCCTTGAGGGTCTCGACGATTTCGGCATACTTGGCAGGCTTCTCAAGGTTGACAGTGAGATCAACGACGGAAACATTAGGAGTTGGGACACGGAAAGCCATGCCGGTCAACTTGCCGTTTAGAGATGGGATGACCTTGCCGACGGCCTTAGCAGCACCAGTGGAGGATGGGATGATATTTTGGGCAGCGGTACGTCCACCACGCCAGTCTTTCGCAGATGGTGCATCGACGGTCTTCTGGGTGGCAGTATAGGAGTGGACAGTGGTCATGAGGCCATCCTTGATTCCGTAAGTGTCGTTGATGACCTTGGCGAGAGGAGCCAGGCAGTTGGTTGTGCAGGAAGCGTTGGAGAGGACATCAATATCCTTGGTGTAGGAGTCAAGGTTGACGCCGCAGACGAACATTGGAGCATCGGCGGATGGGGCAGAGATGATGACCTTCTTGGCACCACCCTTCAAGTGGGCGGCGGCCTTCTCCTTGGTGGTAAAGACACCGGTGGACTCAACGATGTAGGAAGCACCGGTTTCACTCCATGGAATGGCGGCTGGGTCACGCTCGGCATAAAACTTGATACGCTTGCCATTGACGATGAGGTCGCCACCCTCGGTGGAGACTTCACCCTTGAAGGGACCGTGAGTAGAGTCATACTTGAGCATGTAAACCTGTTATTGGGGAAGACGAGGTTAGGAAAAAAAATTGGCATAATGATAATATATAGAGAGAGACAGGAGAGAGAAAAAAAAAGGGGGGGAGGGGAACATACAGCATAGTCTGGGGCAATGAAAGGATCGTTGACGGCGACGATGTCGACATTTGGGTGCTCAACACTGTATGATAAGAGGTTCGGGGTTAGTTTACGAAATGCGTATAGATGGGCGTTGTTATACGGGAGAGGGTATCGTGATGTAATTAGACGTACGCATTTCGGAAGACCTTGGAGATGAACTTAGCAATTTGATTAAGAGGGGGGGTTATTGGGAAGTAGAAGACTTACAATACGGCCGATACGGCCGAATCCGTTAATGCCAACTTTGGTAACCATTTTGATTTTGATTTTTTTTTCTTTTCTTTCCGTTGTGTCAAGAAGAGAGACCCACGATGATTAGCGATGCGAGGTTGAGAGAAGGAGAGGGAGAGGGAGAGGGAGAGTGGAAGATAAAATAGAGGGGGGTATATGATGTCAAAGCAAATGTGACCCCACCATCACCCCCACCTTACACCAACGCGGGGCATTGAAGGCGAATTCATGAACAGAAGCAACTTACAAAAAAAAAAAGTCTTTTATAAAAGTCAAGTTAGGTCTGGGTGGAGGTCAAAAGTCCAATTGGAATGATTGATGAAGAGGATGAAGAGTGAGGAGGGAAGAGGAAGAGGAGGGAGGGAAGAGAAAGGATGGGAGAGGGGCGGATCGGACAGGAATTTATATGTTGAGCTCTGACCAGGCCCAACGAAGAAATTGGGTTTAAAAATGGATTGATTATATTTAATATTACTTAGTTTTTACATACTTCTTACCTACTTACCTCCATAAGGCACTTTCTTATTTCCTACGGGTTAAAACAAGAATTGGCATGACAGTCGTGAGGGAGAATCGATAGGATTCCAATTGAATTGATGCAATGGCCGGGGCTGCACCAGCCGGTCGCCGTTTCCAGCCAGCTTTGATCAAACAAAACCTCTGAGCTCTCTCTCTCGAGAGAGAGAACTGAATGGCCTGACCCCCAACTTCTCTTACTCAGCAGGTCCGATCTTTGATATCATTATTGCATCGCCACTTAACTTGTCGAATCATATGTTACGGAGTACATACACATAGTATGGATAGTCAAGATGAATACTATCCGAAATCCCCTGCCCGGCAAGCTTCCGCAAATCTGACCCAGATCCCGAAATCCTGGCCTAGCTTCCGAGTTTCTTCTAGTTGTTAATTCCTCACATTATCGTGAAGCCCGTGTGTCCAGGAAGGAAAAAAGGACTTGGCTAGGATCCATGAGCGATTAAGCGTGTCTTTTGCCCTCCGTCTGTCCATTCTTCGTCAATTCGCTCGTGACATTGATTAATTCTTCTAACCGATGCTGTAAAATAAAGATATAGACGTCAGTACTTAAGTACTTTATATACACTCCATCCACCCCTCTTTTCATTCCAGTGGGTAATGTAATGTCATGCAGTCGTGATGATGATTATGATTATGATGATCGTGACGAGGACCATACATAAGAGTACTTACTTACTTACTTACTTACCTAGGTAAGTAACTTATAAATTAAATCATAAGATAAAATAAAAAAATAAATAAAAATAAATACATAAAATAATATTAATATAATATATATAAAAATATATATAAAAATATAAAAAAAAATATATAAAAAAAAAAGTGGTGTGATGTTTGGCTGGATTAGCCGACCGAATCGAATTAATTGGCCGCTGCAACAACAAATTGGGGAAAAATTCGAAGCAGTAACGAAACGACCACACCCGAACGATTCCTCAAGCCCGAAAAACCTCTCCCTCCAAACGACGACCCCAAATTCTACCCTTCGGTCAGCGCCCTTTTTTGGATCCAATTGATTCATCGACTGGGTTCTTCCCTCCTGCTGAAAGCTTGATCTTCAATTCTGCCTCTCACTGACCGTCGATAAATCTCCACTCTTCTCCCGTTCTCTCTTCTTCACGATGTCCTTCCTCCGAGCCAAAACCACCGCTTCCAGCCTCCTCCGACTTACCCCATCCCGATCTGCAGCCATCATCCCCCGTGTGGCCGTGGCTACTCCTCAATGTTTACTTAAACGCGATGCCTCAACGGCTCCTTCACATGCCGTTTCCGCTCCAACCTTGGCCGACATCGAGAAGAGATGGGAGAACATGCCCCCGCAGGAACAGGCAGAACTATGGATGGCTTTGAGAGATAGGATGAAGGGCTCGTGGGCTGACCTTACATTGGCAGAGAAGAAAGCTTGTGCGTATACACACACACACATACACATATTACACATCCCGTTTTGTTCTTTCCACCTCGAACTTTACACATACATCCCCGATCCCCGATCCCCTTGCTTTCCATGCCAAACTTCATGATGTTGGAACGGAATCGCTGATTAATCTTTTATCGCGCCACGTGTAGCATACTGGATAGCATTTGGCCCTCACGGACCCCGCCGGGGAGACCCTCCAGGCGAGAATTGGTACGTATTCAAGGGTACCGTTGGAGTTCTGATCCTTACCGGTGTCATCTTCTTCGGTGGTCATGCACTCTCTGCTAAACCAGCACCGAAGACCATGACCAAGGAATGGCAAGAGATGTCGAACGAGTACCTCAAGGAGCAGAAATCCGAGCCCATCACCGGATTTTCTTCCCCAGATTACAAGGGCCCGGGTATGGTTCAGAGCAAGTAAATTTAAATTTGGGTTGAATTCAATTATTTAATTTATTTTACTTTCACGACCGCTCCTGAGACTCCTGAGACTCCTCCTTTACTTCCTAGGGATTTTAAAGAGAAAGGAAAAATAAATAAATAAAGAAAACCTCTTGCCCTTGGCCCTTGTGGTTCCGGACTTGCCCAAAACAAATCCTCTATCTTGTCTTGCTTCGTTCCTGTTTTCTAGCCGCTTTATATATATCTTCTTTTCCCTTTTCTCTCTCTTCTTATATTATTATGCAAAAATGTGTGTATATAACGGTTCGGTGTGGGGAGCTTTCGGAGTGTATAAAACCCCCCCCAAAATATATAGCTTTCCTAGCTTGCCCCGCCCTTATTATAAGCTGAATACTTAGTACTTTGTATAAAATCATATTGATTTGGTCCCTTTCCTATCAATTCAAGGGCTAGAATATAGCACTTGGTGATGTCATCGCATAATTTATTCTGCTGACATATAGTCCCCAACGGATTCGCGGGGGGAAGTGTGGCGTTTGTTAACAAAAAGCCGTGCCACAAAAACACCGCTTCATGTCAAGTCCAGGTGACCGGCTGGCCGAATACTCCGTACAATTGCAAAGAATCACTGACCGCTGAATCCCGATACGGCGAAATCCGTACTAGCACTAAAAATAATATAGACTCGATGATATGACCACCTACCCGCATCCTATGCTCATCTTCTGAGCTCAAGAGGAGGGGTTGACATTGGTTCAAGATATGGGTTTAGACATTTTTCCCGCTTCCGACAAATGGGAAGCCACTGTTCTGCCCATGTGGCTCGAAACTACCCCTCTACGTATACCCTCCACCTGCGGAACATGAACATGACATCGCCCCGGGCTCACAACCCGCGACAGTGTGTGCACGCAGTATATTTACATTACTCTGGTGTTGGGAATTTAGCAGAAACGTCAAATCAGCTGGTTAACCTTTTTTCTTCCTTCGTTACCATGTATGTACCTAAGTTAGCGGTGCTATTTGCGCATGAGATCACAGCTCCGACACCCACGTGCAAAGAGAGGGAAGGGTGTATGTGTACCTTAGTTCACTTTCGCCTGTACCTGGCCCAAAAAAGCTACGGACATTGCCTTTAGATGGAGGAGGAGAAGGAGAAGGAGAAGAAGAAGAAGAAGAAGAAGAAGGAAGGAAGGAAGGAAGTCACTAGAAAACGGAACCGAGCCGAGTGAGCTCGATCTTGCTTTTGAAACCGGAGTGAACAATAAAAGCCCAGATAGCCCAAGAATTCCCACAATTGTTTTGTTCATTCATTCATTCGTTGATTTGCTCATTCGTTCCCACGACTCGAGTCCCTCGGGATTGATCTTATTATAAACACCTAGTCCTCTTAGTATTTTGCCTTTTCATCGGACAATTAACCTTGTAAGTTGTGTGGGTGTGAAGGCATCGCTGCCAAGGAACGTCATCAAACGTATGTATTTTGTCCTGTACCCGATTCTTTGCCTTCTGGACCTGCTCGCCAATTTTTGAATTCGAGAAAGGTAAGAGGGAGAAAAAAAAAAAAAAAAAAAAAAAAAAAATCCTCAACCAAATCGAGCAAAGCAAATCAAAAGCAGCAAGGAGACAAGACACACGCAGCAATCACAGCAATCGGGCTCACTTCTCCTTAGATACCCGAATCCACCCTGCCCAGCCATCCATCCACCGCACACCTGTATGCACCTCTGGCCTGCTCCCCCTGCTACCTACCTTTATTTCCTCCTAAGCTCTTCCCAAGCTCTCTCCGGTAGACAACCCTCCCTGACCGACCTTTCTTTCAACAGATATACGCTCGAAAACCCCTATCATTCCAGCCATTTATAAATTCCGGACGTCCTTCAAGTTTTCGAGAACCTGGAAGAGAGAGAGTGTGTGAGAGAGAGCCAGAGAGTGCAAGCGAGAGAGTGCACCCACTCCTACCTACTTCGACACAATGTCCGGCACCGGTTCACCTTCACATTCCAACCCAACATCCCGTCCGGCTACTCCTGGTAGTTTGCCGCAGGATTCGGAGACCAAAGGGAAGATTACGATGCTCATCGGTATCCTTAGGAAGTAAGCTTCCAATCTATGAGCCTCGAATAAAAATATGAAGGCAACGGAAGCGACTAATGCGTCAAATAGGTTCCTCGGAGTTGCGGATCTGGCGGGCGTGCGATTCTCACTGCCGGCGAACTTGATGGAACCGATCCCGAATTTGGAATATTGGAATTACCTTGACTAGTAAGCTTATCGAGAATAAACACCGTATCTCTAGATGTTAGCAGCTCTAACAACCATACTCGAACAGCCCGAACGCATTCGCCAAGTAAGAAGTCCTAGCGATGAGAACGACATATACCTTAATATTCACGCGCGATTTAGTATAGGAGAATCCGATGACGATCTCGAAAGGTGCCTTGCCGTTCTTACCTTCTGGTTCACAAAGGACTTGGTACTTCACCCTACCAAACAAAGCCGTGTAAACGAATACTAAGACGTCTTAAAATAGAAATTTATCAAGGGGAAGCCATGCAAAGTACGCCACAATATACCGAGCGATGTTAATAATGTGGGAGACCCTACTAACAGTCTTCAGCCTTATAACTCGACACTTGGGGAGTTCTTTAGGGTAAATAGCTAAAATATCCATACCTCTTTTGATTCATATTGGAATACACGCTAAAATCCGAAACCTCAGTGTCACTGGGACGTCGAGAATACCGAAGGGTCAGATGCAAAGCCAACCCGCGTGTGTTTCCTCACAGAACAGACATCACATCACCCCCCAATCTCGGCATTTTATGTGGATTGCAAAGAAAAGGGAATATCGGCCAAGGGATATGATCAGGCATGCCAACCTCGGCAACTACGGAACTTCCAAGTAGCTTGACAGCTAACCTTTATTACAGATAAGCGCCAGGTTTACTGGAACCTCAAGTAAGCCTTCTATTTAACCGGTCCCTCCTCCTACGCTCTTGCTAATTTTCAATTTCCGCATTTTACCCCAGTTCGCGTGGCTCCCGGCAATCACAACCTCGGGATATTCATCGATATTCATAACGGTAGAATTAACGAGACCTGGAACCTTACACACCCTGCCGCACACCTTGGTGGTTTATTGACTGGTGCGTTGGCCGGATTACGAAAGAATACCCTCAACGTGGTGGCTAAAGTATCGACATAGGTGCCCTAAGTATAACGGTCCAAGATATTTGCTATATCACCTGCCCGAAGCTCAAGCTCAAAGTTATCCTGCATTATCTCGACGAGCCGTGGGTCGGAAGGTCCAAATATAGGGTTGAGGGTGTGATTTTTAAATATGACCCAGAAAACGACACCATCACAAGGATAAAAGATGTCCCCGATAAGGATATCAAAGCCCGGATTGACGGCTGCTGGATATCCGAGCTATACTATACACCCGCCGGATCAAAGGTAGCCATCATGATCCCTCTTGAATATTAAACGACTATATCCTGCTAATACCCCATTTTTGCTGTTTATAGGAGAAGAAACTTATTGTGGATGTGAAGCCATTATTCCCAGCTACCAAGTTTGTTCCTTCCAACGAGGACCAGTTAGACAACGAGAGCAGAAAGATGTGGCAAAAGGTCACGGATGCAATTCTTTCGAAAAACTTTAATGAGGCAACAAGGCTGAAGGTCGAAATTGAGGACCAGAAACGAAGGGAAGCCGCTGAGCGTGACGCTCAGAACTCTACCTTTGTGCCTCAGTACTTCGTCGTGGGAGGGGAACCTGGTATCCCGACTCTCAAGGAGGAAGGCCGAGCGATTTTAGATGCGATGAGCAAAGGCGACTATAAGATGACAACTCTCAACTCTACAAGCTAAGCTAAAGGTGGTGGTGGTGGTAGAGGAGGAGTAGGAGAAGAAGAAGAAGAAGAAGAAGAAGAAGAAGAAAGATCGACAGTATGATGTTTAATAAACTTGTCGGAGCCTTTTAAAAATCCGACGTTCGAAATCCTCTCTTAGTGCGACTTGATAGACTGGTTGAATTGTGAAGATTGTTCGTTCCAAGTCAGTGGGCGTTGGCGTCAGGAGGTTTTGTAATTTTGGCGAACGCCTTGCCTTTTTTTATACACACACACGCTCTTTACTCCATCTTACTTAGCTTTATTTTGTGTTCACAGCGTCGCGAGACAGCCGCGGAAGATTTCCTAAATTTTTGTGTCTGCATTCCTATATGATCATATATGATGCTATATATTGGCGTCAGTCGGGTGGGACCGGAAGACAGATCATTGTCATATACAATCTACATAATTTATGCTAGCTAAGTGCTTGCTTAGGTAGCTAGCTGCTGGTTGCAGTATGCAGTATGTAGCATGGCAGTGACAGATAATATTAGCTTCATACCCGTTTTAACAATTTTATACATCCAACTACCCAAGCAAGTACATGGTGCCTACTTGCTCAGTAAGCCTACTTAAATACTTAAGTACCAACTCAAGTAGCTTACCCAATACTCAGTGTATATCAAATGTATATGGCACTTATACTTACCTGGAGCACGAGCAGGGCCCACCGGCCACCTCCGATCCCAAGCACCGCGTTTGCCGCGTCTATATTAGCTCTTTTTGGGTTGCAGTTGGCGTTAAAATTTTCTAACCCACACAACAATTTTTTTCAAGCTTGTCTCTACCATTGATTTAAGCCAAACCCCCCAGCGTTAAACCCCACAAGAAGAAATCGGAGCGCATACCTCGTCTTCCCACCTTACTACAATTGCAACCGTCTTCATACTTAACCTCCCCAGATACGTCGGACCCCTCACCACCACGACATGTCATTGGAGGAGCCCCAGGTTCCTGCTGTGGCAGATGCCACCAGCCAAGCAGAGGGCCCCAGTGCCATCGAGACCGCCCGGAAGTACGACTTGACGCCCAAGATTATGCCATTCCTAGACCGTCACCTCATATTCCATCTCCTTGCCTTCCTACGAGACCAGCAATTTTATCCAGCCGAAGAGCTACTGCAGAACACTTATGACCTCCTCGAGCCGACAAACATGACAGATTACTTGATGGATTTATGGAAACAAATCCACGGCAAGGAGGATATAGATATACCCCGAGAATTTCTATTGAAGAGAGAAAAAGTCATGCAAGAGTGGAGTGCGTTACAAGATGAGACCACAAAGATTACAGGGTTATTAGAAAACCCCGATGTCGTCTCCAATTTCAGATCAGACAAGATGCAAAATCTACAATTCTTGAAAGATAACCACGGTGTATGTCTCGGATCTTAAGTTTTGGAAACGAAACCCAGGTGATGGCTGACTCTTTACTTTTCTCGCTTTAGGTCACAGATGACATGATTGATGCTTTGCTGAGGTATGGTCAGGCCGCCTATAGCCGTGGAAGTTACGACCAAGCCTCCGATATCCTTTACTCGTTCAGAATTTTGGTAAGCCGGGATCCATGCGCGCCACCTACTAGCTTACAAAATAGGAAGTACTAAGTTAAATTACAGTCTACCGACAGCGACAAAGTCAACCAGGCAACCTGGGGAAAACTTGCTTGCGAAATTTTGACGGTCAACTGGGAGGGTGCTATGGAAGAGATTCAAAAAATCAAGGAGGCTATTGACACAAAACCATTCTTAAGTCCCACAGCCCAACTCCAACAGCGCACCTGGCTTATTCACTGGGCTCTCTTCCCTCTGTTCAACCACGAAGCCGCGCGTGACACTATCCTCGAACTCTTTTTCTCCCCTAATTTCATTAACACGATTCAGACTTCGTGTCCTTGGGTTCTGCGTTATCTTGTCGCCGCTGTTATCACTAGTAAGAAAAACAGTGGAAGCTCTAGGGCAGCCGCTATCCAACAGAAACAGTTCAAAGACCTTGTCCGTGTTGTTAGGCAGGAGCTCTACGAGTACAGCGACCCGATCACCGAGTTTATCGCCGCTTTACATCTCGACTTTGACTTCGAGGAGGCACAGAAGAAGCTCGGTGAAGCAGAGGAGGTTATCCGGAGTGACTTCTTCTTACAGGTTTTCTGTGCGACAGAACAGTCCGAGGGTGTTGAATCGAAGAATGCTTTCGTTGAGTCCGCGAGACATCTTATCAGTGAGGCCTACTGCCGGATACACCAGAGAATTGACATCACGTATGTTCCCAAATTATCTTAAACTGCTTTTTATACGAAGTTTCCTGCACTAACAACCGCCCAAGCGACCTTTCCCAACGCTTGAATTTATCCCAAGAAGACGGAGAGAAGTGGATCGTCAACCTCATCAAGGATACAAGAGTGGACGCTAAAATTGACTACAAGAATGTACGTGAACAAAAAAAACCCCGTTTCCCAAACCTACACCCCAAGCTAACATCCAAATCTAGGGAACCGTTATCATGAACCATCCACCTCAGTCAGTCTACCAACAAGTTATCGAGAAGACCAAAGGTGGCTTTTTCCGTACACAAGTACTCCATGCTGCGGTGACCAGATGAACGTTTGGTCAAATTACATTTACGGATGCTTGTCTTGTGTTTGTTACGTGGTGAAAGCAATAATTATAATATATAGTCTTCACGTTACTGAACACTTAAATGACATTCTAGAATTTTGTGCCGTATTGTCTGTACCTTGACTTAATCGTTACCTCATTTGTGTGGTGTTCAGAGGCAATACGTAGAGTTCTCTTTTCCGAACGGGTGTATATTAGCCATATTATCGGATATCACTCACCACCATATACCAAAGGTTTTTGGTCTTCTTCTCTCGATTTTAGTTTATGGTTGTTGGGATGGCAGCCGCCGTAATGGGTCACCCACACTACCCCCATAGCCAGTGTTGTATCCAGGCCATCCACTGTTCACCACATGTCCAACACAAAAGTTTGAGTGCTTTCTTTCGTCCTCGAGAAATCTCTATCCGCCGCTCTGGATGCATTTGTTGCTTAAAAAGGAGAACATCCTACGAGGCAATTAAGTGGACTATACATCATCCTAATATGGACGATTTAGATATCTACTTAAAGGTAACAATTCCCATGATCTTTAGCTCTGGCTACGAGGGTAGAAATTACCATTCAGGTACCGAAGCAGCTAACCGAAAGTTATGTCGTCGCCACCAGCGCTTTCTTCAAGACTTGACCGTCCGTCAAGTCCAAGATGTTATAGGACCGGAAAAAAGGGCATCAGTAGCGGTTGTAATCCGCTTACGGCCTTCGTCTGTACCTTCCCCTCCATATTCGGGTGATGACAGCGAAACGAGATGTACGTTATTACATTGTAGGTCCTCAAGAAAGGAACCATATAGAAAATGCCACGCTGGTGATATTCAAGACGTATTCGAACAACAGTGGGTAGAGGGTTCAACAGCGGAGATATTATTTATAAAGAGATCGTCACGGGCTGGGGATCGCTGGGCTGGGCATGTCGCCTTGCCCGGAGGTAGGAGGGATAAGAGTGATGAAGGGGACGAGGTTACGGCTGTTAGGGAGTGCATGGAGGAAGTTGGGCTAGATCTGACGTCTGAGGATTGTTTACTTTGCGGTGCTTTACCGCAAAGGGTTGTTATTACAAATTGGGGGCAGAAACCGTAAGTAACTCGAGGGTTGCATGAATACAAATCGGTGAAGCGTTAGATAGAACTAACCAGATGATTTATATTGTTTTCCATACTAGGTTGATGGTATTATGCCCTTATGGTAAGTCCATTCGTGGCCAAGTAAAAATACCTACTGCTGGTAATACTAATCGTCTTTAGTGTTTCTGTGGACGAAGGAAGAAGTTCCTGAGTTCAAGCTAGAAGCTGCAGAGGTTGCAGCCGCGTTTTGGATACCAATACACTTTCTCCTTGACGATAAACATAAAACGGAGCACCCAGTTGATGTATCAGACAGAATGGCATCTAGCGCCTTCCAACCTCTGAGACCCTTCTTCAAAATCCTGTTGGGCCCGATGTATTTCTCTGCAGTGCAACTTAAACCCTCCGAAGTTTCTCATAGCGCCGCGTCAACCACAGCCCGAGGCGATGCAATTTCTACGGACAAAGGACAAGCGATGGGAGATCTAATGTTATGGGGGATTACGTATGCTATTTTGGCAGATATGCTGGATTTCCTGCCACCATTCAACTTTGTGGAGTCATTCCAGTATCCATCCTTTGGAGGTTGGGATTTCAGATCTTTGGTTTGGATGCTATCGCGTGGATACCGACGAGGTCGTAAAGAAGATTTGATGGAGTACAAATTTAGTGATGTCATCGGTATGAGGACGGTCTCTGGGGTTCGAAGGCCCCATGATGCTCGCGGAGCGAGGATAAGCATTATAGACCACTTGATCAAGGGATACTATGGGTTCGTCCGACAGGCTGCATATGCAACAATCACTTTCAGAATAGCCGCATTCGGTGCCATTGTACAATATCTCATCGGAACGAACTAAGTTGGCAGTTTCCGCTCCAAGAGCTTTATCACACATGTGAAATACGGTACTTAAGACCAATTAGGGAGAAAGGTTGGATTCGTAAATCTACAGTATACAAAGCCAAGTACCCTTAAAAAGAAAAAAAAAAAATTGACGAAAGCTTGAACCCGAGTAAGAGATGCGCAGAAACCCATGAACCCATCATCGCAGAAAGAGAAAAATAATACGCGGTCATAAGCGAAACAAGAGCATGGCACGTTTTCGTATTAGAGAAAAGCGCACGAAACTTCGGATTTAAAGTGACTGGAAGAATCGTGGCGACCCATGAGGCTTGCGAGGTCTTTGACATGGAACCGCTATGGAGGAAAGGAGGATTGCATGTCAAAGTTGGGTGTGTGGAAGGTGGTTTTGAAGGCCAAGATTTTAAACATACCCTCGGGAATATTTGAGGATGCGTTTATCACAAAAAAAGAGGAAAAATTAGGAAAAGTTCAAACGCCATCTCCCAGATGAAACGACAAAACGCGAAACCAAAAAAACTTAATACGCTTATTTGGCAGACGAAGATGAATACTTGGTAACGGCCTTGGTACCCTCAGAGACGGCATGCTTGGCCAATTCACCAGGAAGGATGAGACGGACGGAAGTCTGGATCTCGCGCGAAGAAATGGTGCTCTTCTTGTTGTAAGCGGCAAGCTTGGAGGCCTCGGTAGCAACACGCTCGAAGATATCTATCAAATAATATCAGATTAAATTCTGTTCGGAATTTGGAATTCGTGATTTAGATTGGACTGCTTACCATTAACGAACGAATTCAAAATCGACATGGCACGGTTGGAGATACCAGTATCAGGGTGGACCTGCTTCAAGACTATCGGCGGTTGGGTGTTAGTAATTGGCCTTGTATCCCTTTTCGGGAATTGAGAACGCGTTGCGCGAATGCTTGAGGGGTTTCGTGTGTATCTAATATACGTATCTCAAAACTTTTAAGAACTCACCTTTGTAGATGTAGGAGGAATAGGTTTCCTTTCTAGCCTTTGTTCTCTTCTTCTTCTCGCCAGAAGCGGTGGCGGTCTTCTTTCCGGCCTTCTTCTCCTCAACTGGGGCCTTTCCAGCTGGAGCCTTGCCAGCGGTGGATGGCTTCTTTTCGGCAGCGGCTTTTGGTGGCATTTTTTGAGTTTGGGATATTTGTGGATATGGAGGGAAGTTTGATGTTTTTGACGCGTTCAAGAAACGGTACAAGAGACCTTTTTGTTTGTTGTGGTTGGAGATTAGTGATGATATCGAAGCCTGGGTTGTGGTTCTGAGGTGTGAAATGGATGGAAGAAATGGAGGGAAGAGAAGAGAGATCTAGGGAAGGGTCGAGGGGAGGACACGAGTATTTGTAGGTTGCAAACGATTTTGACAAGATCACCACCAAAACCCAAATAAACGAAAAATAAAATCAAAATCCGAAAAATTGGGCGTGTGGTGGCTGCCCAACGCCCTTTTAAGTTGGTTGGCCGGAGCCTGGGAGAGCACTTATTACAAGGGGAAGAAGGCAGGCAAACACACGCACCTTTGTTTTTTTTGCATGAGGCCTGTCAACGCTAAACTAGATTTGGGATATACCACAATTACATGTACCTATGTTTCGTACCAATTCGATATAGGATGAGAATATGAGCTAGGCCTGCCTCAACTCTATCACCAGCGACGGGTTCATCAGTGTCGGAGGGCATATGCGCCAAATATAACCCGACGTCGCTATTTAGGTAGTACTCATTAGCACTTATGGACTATTGCCCGTACTGCATACCTAAATACGCCCAATTGATATATTGGCAGATTAGCTCCAGCACTGTCGTAGGTCCAGGTGTGGTAGGAGTACTGCAGCTGGGGCAGCAACTCCAAGCTCCGTTGCAATGCCACCTTTCTGACGCGAGAAACAGAGCGCGTGCGCGTGTTGCTTGGCGCGTGTGAGCTGCATTTACACACCAGCCCTGCGTTGTGATTGTGTTGTTTGACCAAACACATTTTATATTTTTGTGGTGATTTGTGTGGTCTTTCGCGAACCGCGCCCAGCTATTTAAATCCACACACGCCCCGACATAGCTTCCTGTCTTCCCTCGATTTTGCTCCCTTCTTCTCCCATTTCATCTCCCATATACCCACACCAAACCTACTCCAATCCATCGATCCTACGCGTCCACCGAGACCACTGAATTCTCACATCTAACACGAAAGTCCTCAACTTTTCCAACCTCTTCCAATAGTTAAAAATGGCTTCTGGTGGAAAATCCGGCGGGAAGGCTGCTTCTGGTAGCGCCAAGACATCTCAGAGGTACGTTTTGTGACCTAGTCCCTAGAATTATATTGAGAAAATTCAAAGAACAAAGTAGCTAACTTGTAATTTGCTATTCACATAGCCGATCCTCCAAGGCCGGTCTCGCCTTCCCAGTTGGTCGTGTTCACAGACTTTTACGCAAGGGCAACTACGCTCAGCGTGTCGGTGCTGGAGCTCCAGTTTACCTCGCTGCCGTCCTTGAGTACCTCGCTGCCGAAATCTTGGAATTAGCTGGCAACGCTGCCCGCGACAACAAAAAGACCCGTATCATCCCACGTCATCTTCAGCTCGCCATCAGGAACGATGAGGAATTGAACAAGCTCCTCGGACATGTCACAATCGCACAGGGTATGTTTTACATTATTACTGATGTCCCTTCAATTTATGAATCATAATCTAACGGTTTCAAAAATAGGTGGTGTCTTGCCCAATATTCACAACAATCTCCTCCCGAAGAAGACCGGAAAGGCCCAGAAGGGTGCTTCTCAAGAAATTTAAACTTCTGTCGGAGCCTATTTGTATTTTTGATACGACTTTCTGTTTTCCCTCTTTTCTTTTTCGTCTCATTGCTTAGTCTAATGTAATGGCGCGGGGTTTTGGGATTCCTTTTTTCACATTTCAATGTACTGTAACATTCCCCTATTCCTGATATCATGCCTATTCCTTTCCGGTTTGCTATTTTTCTCTTATTCCGGGTATCGAATGGTTCATGATGGGCATGATAACGCATATACTTTTTTTTCTTTTTGTTTCCCGTAGAGGATCGAAGGGTTTCAAAGCAATCCCGGACTCTTTCGTCTTGTGGACGCGCGGCTTCTGTCTTCTTGATTCAATTGAAATACAAGTCTGGTTCAGTCCAGATTATCATGGGAAAACCTAGCGGTTATGTTAAATACTGATGTTGTGATGCCTAAACACGGTTTTGATAAGACAGTCGCTGTACACCGGTACCTTCCGTCTCGACACTAAGGTCCAATAATCTCTTGGGCCCGGTGGGCGAGCTAGCCTTCGCCGACGATATGCTATTTCCTTGGAATTAGCTATTCCCATCCAACTTGGTGACCCATCAGAGCTTGCTCATTGGATTCTATAGATTTAAGGTTGGATTAGCTTGACTCTTTTATATGATATACCTCGCGGTTTCTCTGTCCCTTTTCAGCCTTAGTTTGTCGCCTTGCTTCACACCAGCACCGCTAACTTTCACATTTGTAGTCTCTGAGATACCCGTATTACCGATTGAGGAGGATTCCACCTTGATGTGCAATTGCATGGACTCCTGGTCAGCTGTAGATCGTCCATTCTTGTCTGTCGTTAATGCTCTTCTTAGGTCTTTGTTGCTGCTGCTGCCCAATACCCTGTTGCGTTTGTTGGCCCAACTTCTCATATAGCCGTCGAACACTCTTAAAACCACGATGATACCTTATTAGAACATTCCCCCTCTTTATAAGGAGTTTAGTTGCGTTTACCTTTGGCATTGGGCTAGCATCCAGCAACTTCTTAAATTTGATGTCGGTCTGTGTAGGTTGACGTGGAGTGAACATCATTTCTAAATAGTGGGATCTTGTATTTCATGAATGCAGAATGGCTAAATTGAGATTAGGCGTTCCTACCTAACCTCTTGTTCACATGATATTTCATAGGTAGTTACACCCAAGTGTTCAAAATAAATGAAAATAGAAAAGTTCGGGGGGTATCGCCTGTCAGCCCAGCTGTATTCCCGAACTCCCTTGGTGTTTACTGGTATGCATGACTAGCAATCCGGGTCAATCGATACGATGCCATCTAGCCCGAAAGTCTACGCAACATTCACCGTGACTTCTGGTTGCGTGTGCTTTGGGGGGCTGCATAATATCTGGTCGGGAAGCACGGTACCAACCCAAAGCTTTCCAACAGTCCGACCCCAAACTAGAGGTACCATCAGAACCCACGAACTTCAGTATAACATCAGAGCTAAGAACGGTACCTGGAATGTTTATCGCCTTATTGACAAAAGAAATAATGAAGTTTCCGCATGGTATGTTTCACATTCATGCGTGGAACCAGTGCAAGATATTCGCAAAATCCTGCGCATCGCTGGTTCCCCGTATGAACAGGATGGCGGCAGTACTATGAATACCGACGACACTCAGCGAGAAGGTATTTTTGTTATCAATCGGTACGACTGGGGCTGTTATGATCGTCGATACCTCGACGAAATTGGTGAAGGAGCGGAAGAAGGTGCAAACGATGTTCTAGCTAATTCTAACTCTGCTGGCCTTGTTGATTATTCAGGGGCACAACTTCAAGTTCAGCAATGGAAAAGGATGCGGCCCAGCGAACGACCCGGCTCCCGGATTGGGATATGGATGTACAGTCCACATGCGGAGTACATGTTTTGTCGATTTAGTTTCGACGAAGCTCGCGATGCTATGCAGTCACTTGTATTCTTCTCTTCAAACACTGAGTTCGCGCGAGTCACTTTCGAGGAACTCGAAGAAACTGTCAAAAGGTTTGAGACATCACAAAAGAGGTTCGAGCGACAGCTCAAGGAAGAGTACGATTTCTCCGGTCTTGAAGAACTTCGCAGGATGTCGACACCATTAGTGGTCGGGCTCTCCCCACTTGGGCCATCGCGGCCCGCCTCTGAGTTACAGGGACCTTACAAGGATATCAAGGCGGTTTTCGAGGCTAGGGATATAGAGCGCCTCCGAATTGTGAGCCAGAAATATCCCAAGAGCTTCGCAGAACAATGGAAGCACCATATCCATAACTTGCTCAACGAATTGGCCTGGTATTATTTGGATTGGTTTATCCGCCCTCACATAGGTTTATATGGTGGGGTTGAAGCAATGGCAAATGCCATTTTCCCCTGCCACTTAGAATCCGGGGTGAACGGATTACACAATCACCTCTATCGCCACTTTACACAGCCAGATGCAGACCCAGTGTCTGGTCTCAATGCAGATGGGGTATCGGATCGTATCAAGGATTTATTAGCGCCCGAATCACTTTCACTTCCATCTTCTAACTACTCAAAAAGCGTGTGTCGCGTGCTGGCATATCTTATCATGGAAATTTTTGAGTTAGCTAGCTATCGTGCCTCTGAATCTTCACATGCGCAGATCGTGCCATCGGACATCCGACTTTCAATTTATACAGATAGAGACTTGTTTCAGATTTTTCAGTACTCAAGGGCATTCTGGCAGGGCGTTGAATGATTCGTATTCCTGCTTCTATTGCAAACTCCCCGAAGTGTGTTTTTCTTTCACATCTTTTTTACTTTCCTTTCCTTCTATTTTTTTTCACCGGACGAAAGTGCAGTTGCAAAACTAACGAGGCTTGCTGAAAAATCACCATACCTATCCTGTAATCCCTGATGTTAATCTGGCATGCATTTCAGTGGGTGGGGGGCGTTCGTTGGTCACGGAGATTCTGTCGAATAGGCTTTCTTAGAACTTCAAAATCACAATGCAGCCCCGTGAAAACTCGGTGGATGGCAGTTGGTCAATTTCTGTCTACGAAAATAATCATAAGCCGTGAGCGCTGGTTGGGTATCTTGTTTCCAAACCCGCATGCAATATCAGAACTTCAGTGCAGGTATATAATCGCTATATAACTCCGTGATTGCCCTCTCTCGAGCTCTCGATCCCCAGTCCTTTACACAACCTGCTACTCATCTACTTCCTTTATCTTAAGCGATCACAGAAGTTAGATCTCGAATATAGTATAATATCAATACCTAGAAAATGGCAAAGAACGCCGACGAGACAGAGATGGCTACAACCCAAAGCATTGTTGATAGCAAAGCCAGAGAGCGAGCTTTCATTGAGTGGCTTAAGGGTTACCTGGATACGATCGCGTTAATTGCTGGGCTCGGGAGCTCAATCACATTCTCCATTATCGTTGCAGAAATCGTTGACCCTTCTTCACTCGGGTCAATGAAGAATGGTGTTGTATTCGACCTGGACCAAGTTAGGTTAATTATATCTCTTGGTTGGTGCGTCTTCACTATCGCCGTAGGAATCGCCATCTTTGCCAAGATCCTTTTCATCGATCCAATCGCTCAGCGCAATCTTGAAAAGAATATGAAGTCCAGTCTTTTTCAATATCAGCTAGGAGTTGTTCTGTTTCTCCTCAACCTGTTGCCGACCATGGCTTTTACGCTTATATCACTGGCGGTTACCGCGTATGTGCCAGTGGTGGGCTGGTTGGCAACAGGATGCTCTGGGCTTGCTGGGTTGCTTGCCTTGGTCATGTCCATTGGTGTGCTCGATATAGGGCCTTCCATCCCACGACTTTTACGCGATATCTCGGTATGCATTCACCTATCGTAGTATTTGACAGGTAGAAAGGCATGGTACGCACGTATTGACCCTCGTTTAGGAGTAACAACATTCCCGTCATAGTCACTATGGATGGAATTTTTTATGAGTGTAGGCAGATCAGAAGACATGGGCACTTACACAACATATATTCTACAAGACATATACCTAACACCATTGTGGCTACCAATTCTAAAATATATATTTAACTTTTCTGAAGGAACAACCCCACCTGTATCCTGCCGGATAGGAGGATAAAGCGGACCCGGCGTGAAAGTTACGGCAGATTTGGTATGAAAATTACATATATTATAATTATAATTTATTATTTTATATTTTTTTATATGTATTTTACAAATTAATTTATTTTTGTATTTAATTGTATAATATTCTTTTTTTTTTTTTTTAACAATGTGTACATCTATTGTTTTTATTTAATCTTAAAAACCTTTCTATTTTCAATTTCTCTCTTCCAAAAAATATATACCCTTTTTATTAAATATATGTTACTTTTTTTTTATTTATCACAATATGTTACACTTGTTCCAGGATTTTTTTAACAAAGTTTCCTAAAATAGCTTAGTATTTTGTTTTATTTTTTAATTTTATATATTTAAATTTTTTAAAGGATAGTATAGTATTTAAAATAAAAATATAAAGTTATATAAATAGAAAGTATAATATAATATAAAGTTATAAAACTAAATATTATTTAAATAGATTATAAACTAAATTAATAAATTAATTGATGAAATTTTAAAATAAATTAAGAATTATTCTTGTTTAAAAAATTTTAAATATATGATGAAGTTTATATATAAATGTAGATAAAAATATCTAATTTTATATCATTTTAAATAATCTGGTTGATAAACAAAATCATCTAAAATCATATAAAATTATTTTTAATTTTAACATTAAATAGTATATAACTAATAAACTAATACCAAATATTTTCGCCTATCAAATAAATAAAAATATACTATTTTATAATATATTTATACATGAAATAAAAAACAAATATACAAATTCGCATTCTAAGAATTCTAAATAATTATAATTAAAATAAAATTTATGTTATTGCTAGCGCGTATTATACAGAGGTAGCTCTTACTATGAAGGATATGTAGGTTTCTATAGATGATGTATTCGATCGTTATATCTTCTAGTATAGAGGTGGCTCTATGGGATAGGTATAAGGGTAGCAAAAACTTTAGCTTTTGCTATAACCTGCCTCTGTAGTAACCCAAACCCGGTAATATCTGCTTTAGAGAATGGTTACTCTATTATAGTAACAATACTCTAACTTAGACATTATATATACTCTAAAACAAAGATTTTTTTTTATTGTTGTGCTATAGAGGTAGCTTTATGTTGTGAAGATAGATTCATTAAATAGAAGTTTGGAGTTTTTTTATTTGGTTATACCTCTTTATAAGAAAAGTATGTGCTTTTTTTTGTTAATTTTTATACTTTATTTTGTGAGCTTATTTTAGATGTTTGTTTTATAAGTGAATTTGTTATATTTATAATTTAGTTGTTTGTTTATTTTATAATTGAATTTGTTGTGTTTTATATATTATACTTATTATTTTTTTAAAAAAAATATTTAATTTATTGTATAAGATCTTATATATAAAATGTTTTTATTAGATTATATATATTTATTTAGTTTTATAGAGTTTGTTTGTTATTAATATTTATTATATTATATAGTAAGCTTTTTAATAAGTTTTATAAGTTTTATTTTATATTATGTTTTTTGATTTTTTATATTATTAGTTTTTTAGTTTGGTAGACTTTTATTAATTAAATAGTTTTTTCTATACTTATATATAAACTTATTATGTTAAAGAATTATTTTAGTTGTAGAGCTATTATCATGGCCCAGCCATATCGACTAACCCAATTAGAAGATATGTCTTGGTGCAACAAACATACTTCCTATTTCTACTTTTCTTTATTTTATAAAATATTTTTAATTATAATTATTCAAATTTTTTAAATTAAAAATTTATATATTTATTTTTTGCTTTATGTATAAATGTGTTGTGGAATAATATATTTCTTGTTTAATTGATAAGTAGAAATATCTAATATTAAATTGTCATGTAATATTTGATGTTAAGGTTATATCTATTAAATATTATCAAAGTTATTAAACTAATAATTAAAAAGATTTTTATAATTTTTTTTAAAATTTTAATATAATTTATAAATTAAAGAATAATTAAATATGTTGTAATATAAATTAAATTATTAATAAGTTAGGTAAATCTTAATTTTAAATTATAAAATAAAATTAATATTAAAAAAAATAAAGAATTTATTAAAGTTTATAAATTTTTAAGATTTTAAAATAAAATTATAATAGTTAAATTAGATATTTAAGTATAATTTATAGAAAAGTTATAAAAAAATGTATATAATAGATATATAAAAAAACTTAGTATAAACATTAATAATTTATTAATAATATTAAATATATTTATTAAA